CATGCACTGGCTGAGTCCCAACCCTGCTGAGGGTCAGGGAGGACGGTGGCCCTACTATGGTCTCAGACACCTCCACTTTCCAGGACAGTGGCACATTCAGTGTTCCAGAGTCCTGGGCTGCATAAAAAAGGACCACAGACCTAGACAGCAGACATTTAGTGTCTCCAGTTTTGGAGGCTAGAAGTCTGAGCTCCAGGTGTCTAGGCCACACTCACACAGGTGCTAGGGAAGGGTCTGTTCCAGCCACTGTCCATCTTCTGGTAGTTGCTTGGCCTATGGTAGTCACTCCAGCTTTCCCAGAGGATTCTCCCTGTGTATGCCTCTCCTCTGTCCATATTTTCCCTTTTTATAAATTCACCAGTTGTCCTGGATTAGGGCCCAACCTACTCCAACATAACCTTGTCCTAATTCAACTAATTATATCTGCAAAGAACCTATTTCCAAGTAAGGTCACATTCTGAGTGACTGGGGGTCAGAACTTAACCATATGAATTTGGGAGAGGGCTGGGGATGTGGCTCAAGTTGGTAGTGAGCTCGCCTAGCATGCGTGAAGCCCGGGTTCGATCCTCAGCACCACATACAAACAAAGATGTTGTGTCCACCGAAAAACTAAAAAAAAAAAATAAATAAATGTTAAAAAAATTCTCTCTCTCTCTCTCTCTTAAAAAAAAAAAATGAATTTGGGAGGGACATGTATCTACCCTAGCACAGGGTGAGGCATCTTATTGAAAAACCTCTTCCTGTCCCCACCTGTAGGCCATTGAGTCACCTTAGCCTAAGCCCTGCTAGCGGGGCACACAGGGCCTGGGTAGGAGGCCCGAGCACCCCACCATGGTTCCCCAGGGCACAGAGCAATAAGTGAACAGCTCCCAGCACCACAATGTGAAGGATGCAGGCAGGGTTGGCAGGCCAGCAAGCAACCGGCTCCTGACAAAAAGTCTCTGCTAGGTCCACTCCGTCAAGTAGCAAATAATTTTTCCGCCCAAGATATGATGTGTGGGGATGGGAGTGGGACAATAACAAATTAGTGCCTTCTTGGAAGAAGTGAGGCTAGACTAAATCAATGGAAGAGAGAGCCTCCAGATCCCCCTAAGGATGCCCTCCATCAGGGAAGGACTGGCCCCCTCCTGTTTGTTCCTGTAGGGCAGCTGGAGGTGGGATGCAGAGAGAGTCCCCAAGGCTGAGCCAGCACTCCTGTTGTCTCTGCAAGTGGTGATATGGATTAAGTTATAGACCGTGAATTATTTCTTAAAATGCTTGCCTTTGGCCTGACCGAGGGATCATAAAAGCCTGGGTTCGATCCTCAGCACCATATACAAATAAAGATGTTGTGTCCGCCGAAAACTAAAAAAAAAAAAAAAAAATTAAAAAATTCTCTCTCTCTTAAAAAAAAAAAACCAAAACATTCAATATATGAAATACTCTCTGCCATGCTGGGGATCAAACCTAGGGAAAGTGCTCATGCATACTATGTAAGTGCTCTACCACTGAACTACGTCTCCAACCCACCTGAAATATTTTTAATTGTACATACCGTAGGGTACGCCCCCCCCATTCAAATGTAAATGCCACAAAGGCAGGGTCCTTATGCCTTCTGCTCCTTGGGGCCCAGGGCAGGACCTGACACAGATGCTTCTTAAGAATTTGTTGAGGCTGGTCATGGTGGCACACACCTGTAATCCCAGCAACTCTGGAGGCTGAGGCAGGAGGATTAAAAGTTCAAGGCCAGCCTCAGCAACTTGGTGAGACTCCCCATCTCAAAATCTAAAAAGGAGTTGGGGATGCAGCTCAGTGGGTGGAGCACCTCTGGGTTCAAAGCCTTGTAACACACCCACACCCACACCCACACACACACCCCCCCACACACACATATGTGAGCATGTACATGTTCAAAGAACTTGTTGGATGACAAATAAGTGGAATGTCCTGCTGGGCTACCAGATAAAGACAGGGAATCCACTGTGGTATAGCAATCATCAAATGATGCTAGGTGAGAAAAATGTTAGAAAACATATATGGGCAGTTTGAAATGTTTTCTATATAAGAAAAAAAAAATCCATAAGGGAAACCCACTCTTCACAGTAATGGAAGAGTTGCTGGTGGCTTTTCTTTTCCTTTTTATTTATCTGTATTTTAAGCATAGTTCTTACAAAAAATGTGTGGTGGGGATCAATAAAAGCTACTTTTTTTAAAGGAAGAAAATAAACACTAAGCCAGGAGCAGTGTGTGTGACCTGCCTGCCCCAAGAAGCCATACATCCAGGACAACACCAACCTCACAATCAGTCTTGAGCCCTGGCCAGGTTCACCTGCCGCTGCAGTCCCTCAGCCCAACTCGGCATTGACCTTTGTTTGGGTCTCCCCCTGCGATTCCAGTGGTGTGGGAGGAACCGCCAGCCTGGTGTCCTCAACCTCCCTGTTCCAGCCCCTTAATGCTCGGAGCCTCCAGCACCCTTTCCCTTTTTCTTTCCTGTTCAAACCTGCAACTCAAGGACTTCAGAAACAGGAAGAGAGACCCTCCTTGCAGTCAACTTCCAGGGTCTACAGCACTTGCCACTCTCCAAGTGGCATGAAAACCTGCAGGGGGAAGGTTATCAAGGAAAGGATGCACATCTTTGAGATGATGGCATTCCTGCTCCTGGGAATTGTGCAGAAACCCATCCTGTCCCCTCTCCAAGTCAGAGGGCTGTTCAGGTCAGTTTGCTGTTCTCAGGTGGGATGGACCTAAGCTTACAGAGAACCCAGTAGTGGGGGAGTTTGTGGTTGTCACTGGAAGTGGGGGCAACACTGCTGGCACTCGGTGGTTGGAGGCCATCAAACTGAAAAGTCTTCCTCCAAAAATCGGCCCTTCTACCAGGCGTTTGGGATCCAGAGTGTTTCAAACTTGCTCCTCAAAGGCCTCCCGGGAGTGGGGGTAAGATGGAGTGAGTGTTCCTTGTTCCAACAGCCCTGAGAAGGAGCTTTGTGGTGTGACACCCTCAGGCAGCGGGCACACACAGAGAGGGAGTGAAACTCAAAACTCAGCCACTGAGAACCCAGTGGGATCAAAATGATAGATGACAATCGGGGTGAGGAAGAGGATCGGAGTGAGGCTTCAGTTCCTCCCAAATCTCAAGCCCAGTCCCGTGCAACACAGAATTAAATTCCTCTGGGTCTGCATACGGGCAGGCCCTGGACACCTCCCAGGGACTCAGGGACGACGGGGCCCTAGGTCCATGCGGCCACCCAGGGCGGGTTCCGGCGACATCGAGGGCCTGGACAGTCCCAGGTGGACTCGGAGCCCTCCCTGGGAGAGGGCCGACTCGGGACCGAAGCGCTCGGCCAGGGTCCCCCGGGAAACCGGACCATCAGGGGCCGCCTCCGGCACCGAAGGCACCCGGCTCTACGGAAGCCCTCAGGCCGCCGCGGGCCGCAAGGCCCCAGCAACTGGGCACCGCCCGGGGCTGCGCGCGCACCCGGCCTGCTGGGCGGCGAGGGAGGACGCCAACAACGCCCCGCCCCGCCCCGCCCCGCGCGCCCGCCGCGCAAACCCCGCCCCCGAGTCCCCGCCCCTCGGGCTGGCCAAGGGCCTCCTCCCCGCCCCCGCCAGGTGCGCGGCCCTTCCGCAGAGAGMGCGCACCACGCCAGGTCCTTGCCAGGCTGCAGGTCAAAACGTGGCACGAAAAGCAGGCCACACATTGTAAAAACGTAATTTTATCAAGATCAAATTTATTTCTACCACGGGACTTAAAAATGTTTCCTATTTCTAAGCCTGCTTTATCAGACGATATCTTTTTTGGTTGCATGAAACAACTGCAGAACCCCAAAGCTGCGCAGTCAGCATAATTTTCCCACTGACCATATATTCAGATTTCCCTAAAGCTAGAACTGTGGAATCAACTTGGAAAGGGCACAATATTTCTACGTTTTGGTTGTCTGATGGAACTCTTCAAAAGCTATCTGAATTTGAATTAACCTCTGTAAAATGTATGCTTTTACAAGTGAATTTAAAAGCCACACCATACTTTATACTAAAAGAATAAAGATTTTTATTAAGCATTGTAAGTTGCATTCAATAGCCTCCGGATACGCCACACCACAATCCATCGACAGTCAATCAGACCCAACAGCAGTTCATTCTTCACAATCCATGAGTTAGGGCAGAACTCCCTTCAACTTACAGTAAGATCCTACTTAGCTCTTGCGGGCAGGGGTTGGGGAATTACACCTCATTTCTGATCACTAATGTGATGAAGAGCATCAGAAGTATATGAAAACGATAAGAAGTGATTCTGATTTCAAAGTACATTGTTTGGAAACATTAACAAAAACATCAAAATGATAGAAGTATACCTGCTTCTACTAAATTCTTGATGGGAAAGTTTTCAAGAACAAGCAATTTGTTTCCTGCTACAGAAGGGGGGGTGGTTTTTTTAAAGATCAAAGGGTTTTTTTTTCTTCACAGAATTTCATATTTTGCTAATATGAAGGCATAAAACAGCAACAAAGAACAATAATGCATACAGCAGTGAATACACCAGGGTAATGTTGATATTCGAAAACGGCTAGATAATTTTTGGGGGATTTTAGAATAAATGCAACAGAGGTCAATAATCACAAAATTTTAAGGTTAGAGCAAGATCAGTCAATGACTAAACAGAGTTAACATCTTTTATAGGACTATTACTGATTATTAGCATTTTTGTTTTGCAAATGGGCACATACTGGTAAGAATGGAAGAAAGGACAATAACATGCATAATATTAACTACACACTTTAAAAATTATGAACCATGCAGAAGTTTAGCTCAAGTAGTATACTAATGGTCTACATCTGATTCAAAACCACATAGTTCATTGATCACAGATGCATGGTATTAGTCACGAAGTTTCAGAACACATTGTGTTGATTTTGAAAGGTCATTTGCATCTCTATGATTTCAACTTTATCTCCATTTAACTTGCTTGTAAAGTATGTATGATGTACTGTATATTTAAAATCAGCAGAACGGCAATATTACTCTATAATTTTTTAGTTTCGATAGTTGCACTTTTTTTTTTTTTAACACAAAAGAACCACATCAACGGTGATGAAATTTAAGTAAGAAAGAAAAACTGTGGTTGTGTCTTATTTCTTTCATAATCATAAAAATCAAAGCCTTAAACAAAGCTTCATTGTGAAACAGTAATGCAAAATCAAATATAATGGCATACATATGGTGCCAAATGCTAAAAATTATATTTTAAGCTATATATAAAGACTGCCAAAATTTGTTTTCTTTATAGTTCAAGAAATACAACTATAGGCTTTTGTCATAACCAGTTTAAACTTTGTGTGTACTTCATTTTAAATGCGGGAGTCAAATGCTCTTCATTTTCTTTCTCTCTTTTTTGTTTTATTGTAGCATTTTGACTACAACTGGTTAAAACTAAAAATGTGTTGTTTAAATCTCTGATATCAAAGAGGGATCTGAATTTCCAAAGTCCTAATTTTTCTTTTTCAGAAAGGACAAAATGTACATAACTGCAGGCTCTCTTTCTCTCCAGATATTTCTAAATTCTTACCCTTCCAGCATTCTTCACCCTCTATAAAATATAAGTTTACTCTTCTTTATTTAAGACAGCTGCCTCCAGAGCAGCCTCCCTGCGGCAGGCGCTGTCTGTACTTAGTGCATTTAAATGAGGATTTGTATTGCACGTTTTAGAGTCATTGTTCAAGGCACTTTCGGAGTGGCTGGGGGCCCTGGTGTCACCCGCGCTCCCGTTCATCTGGGGCACTGGCTTCTCCTCGGCCATCACTCCGTTTTCAGCCAGGGACCCGTCTGAAGACACGGCAGAGGACTTGGATTCCCCGGATTTCGACTTCAGCTCTTTGGCCACTTCTTCCGCTGAAGCAGCATAAGGAGGTCTGCCCTGTTTAAAGGAAAAGACAAATGGTGAGGCAGCCTGGGTAAGCGGTGGGACAGCGGGCCGGGTTCTGGCCTAGCGGCTCTGACTACAGACTCCGAGCACACAGAGACTCCTGACTCTGACTTCACCCTGAGTGGCCTTCAGGTGGTGCAGCTTCTCCTATATCAGTTCGTCCCTCCTTGGCCCCTTTCCTTGACATTTCTGCAATTAATATCCTGAAAAAGAGGGAGATTCCCATTTCAGGAGCTCTAACTAATCCTTTATATAGCACCCAACCTTTTTTTGTTGTTGTTTAAATAGTTTTAGTTGTAAATGAACACAGTGCCTTTATTTTATTTATTTATGTGGTGCTAAGGACTGAACCTAGGGCTGCACACGCACTAGGCAAGCACTCCACCACTAAGCCCAGCACCCAATCTTTTAAGGTAACGAATATTCCTCATGAGTCTCCTCTGAAATGGAGGCTGTGCCCATGCCCTCCAAAATGAACAACTGGATGGGCACCCCCCTACCGCCCCCACCCTAATCACCAGGATAGGGTGGTGCCCTCCAGCACCTTCCTGTCATCCTATCCTCAAACCCAGGGGGGCTTTACACTAGTGCAGACTAAGTCCACTGGCTCCACCTAGAAGAGGGAGCATGTCCAGTGACCCTTGTCAAAACACGGAGTCCCCCCTTTCTCCCACAACAACACTTCTTACTTTAGATCCTGACACTTGTGTTCAGAAATACCCACACTAGTCAATGCTATTCTCACAAATCAATGCTATTGTTATTTCCTTGGAACTCGAAAACAAATAATTTGTTTTGTTTTTATGATGCTGGGGATTGGACCAAGGATCTTGTGCACGACAGGCAAGTCTCTAACACTGAATTACATTCCCAGCCTGAGACGAACACTTAACAACAACTGATTTCCCCACATGTGGAAACACGCACTCTACAACTGGTTTCTCTTTCTTTGCCACCACGAGGCAGCTTCTTCTGCCATCACTAAATGTGCCGTCCGAGCAAGCAAGCAGCGCGGCTTCCTCCACCTCTTGGTACCTCCTCTATGAACTGACCCACAGGGATAAAGCTCTCCAGGGAAGGAGACGAGCTGGGAGTGGAGTAGCAATGGAACAGGATAGCAAAAACAAGGAAAGAGAAGATCTAGAAGCGACGATAAGCCCCCCCCCCTTTTTTTTTGGTGGTACCAGGGAGGGAATCCAGGGCCTTGCACATGCTAGGGATACATTCTAACACTGAGGCACATCCCCAGTCTTTCTGCCATACTTTTAACATTCTGGAAAAGGCAAAACTATGGGGAGAGTAAAAAGATCAGTGGTTGCCATGGGTTTCCAAGGAGAGAGGGAGGGATGACTCTAAGGTGCACACAGGATTTCAGGACAGTGAAACTACCCTTGGATATCATAATGGTGGACATATGGGACATGTGTCAAACCTGTAGAATGTGTAACACTGAGAGTAAGCCCTAGGATAAGCTAGTCCTGATGAACTCTGTTGATCATGATGCATCTGTACGTTCACAGCTCTGATAGGGGTGAAGCAGGTGGTGGGGAGCCTGGGGGAGGGGCAGGCAGGAACTCTCTGTACCTTCCTCATAAGTTTTGCTGTGAACCTAAAAACTGCTCCCCAAACTATCCTTAAAGAACCAAATTACCGAATTGTGCACTTTAATCAGGTGAGTTATATCAAGAAGGGAAGAAAAAGATACAAAGGAATTGGGCTGGGGATGTGGCTCAAGCGGTAGCGCGCTCGCCTGGCATGCATGCGGCCCGGGTTCGATCCTCAGCACCACACACAAACAAAGATGTTGTGTCCGCCAAAAACTGAAAAATAAATATTAAAAAATTCTCTCTCTCTCTCTCTCAAATACACACACACACACACACACACACACACACACACACACACACAAAGGAATCAAGATCCTGAAGGCAGGTGTAGAAGCAGCAGCACGAGAGCAATGGGAGCACTCAAGCGAAAGATGAAGACTTTCCTGATTCAGGATAACTTTTTAACACAGAATAAGGTCTGAAATCACCTATGGAAAGAGTACCCCTCACACTGTGTATGGTCTAGGACAACCAGTGCCAGGGAATGACAGAGAGGTACTAACTCTCAAGGAAGACCAGAAACAATCTGGGTGCTTAGGACAACGTCACGAGTGGCTTCAAAGGGAAAAGCATTAGATGTCTTTGACAGTAAAGCTTTATACACACAAACAAAATGAAATGATGTGAAGATCATGGAGAAGAAAAACTGTTTCCTGGTCAGGAAAACCGTTTCACGTTGAATTCTGTTTCCTGAGTCCTTCCTGTGGACGTTTCCTACAGGATCCACTGAGGAAAGTCTTTGAAAGACCAGAACAGAGGTACAGACATGAGCCTAGAGAGGACGTGGAATATGAAGGTATTTACAGAATCAAGAAAAATAAAGCAAAAAGGGAAAGTATAGTAGGTGATGGCTGCTTCCTCCAGATACTGTGGATAAGAACAGCACAGCTGGTAGCTGGGGTGTGGCTCAGTGGTAAAGCACTTGCCTCCCACATGTGAAGCACTGAGTTTGATCCTCAGCACCACATAAAAGTAAATAAACAAAATACTTAGTCCATGCACAACTAAGAAATTAAAAAAAAAAGAAGAAGAACAGCATAGCTATCTTAAAACTGTGCGTGCATGTGTGTGTGTATGAATAAGTGTTAATGTTTTCTTTCTTTTTGAGACAGGGGCTCATTCTCTTGCCCAGGCAGTCTCAAACACCTAGGCTCAAGGGATCCTTCTGCCTCAGCCTGCCAGGGAGCTGGGACACTACGACGGTGGATACATGTCAAGCCTATAGAGAATACAACACTAAGAGTAAGCCCTAGTGTAAACTACCGACTCTGGGTAATTATGACCTGTCAGGAGGGTTTGACAATTACAATAAATGTTATCACTGTGAGAGGGGATGTAGTAGATAGTGGGGGAGGCTGGACACCAACCCTGCTTACAAATTTTTTTTTTTTTTTTTTTAGCTATTTGCAGTGAATAATGTTGGCCATGGTAGTGAGAACAGGTATTCTGAGCCCATGTGTGTAATATGGGAGAAAGCAATGATGCATTATAGCATATAGCATATTAATTAACCCTGTTTTCTAAAGAACCAAGATTCTCAGAATAGAAAAAAAAAAAAGAACATTCAGAGGTTGTAGTAGAGGGTAAGTACATTTCTAAGCCCTTAATTGGAACTGGAAGATTCAACAAAGAATTCATGAAGTATTTTCTGGGGTGGGAGGAGGAATTACAGGTATGAATCTATGGGGTATGTTTGTACAGGCATGTATGTACCTTCCGTCTCTGCGACTGTCCATAGGAGAAACCTAAAAACATAGACTCAGTCCAGAGGACATAAGGACATAAAAGAGAAGAGGTAAAATATAAAAGTCCACAGCCCTCAACTTGGACAAGAAACAACAGCAGGAATTCACAAGGATCTTATCCTAAAAAAAAAGAAAACCAATGGGCACAGTGGGCCAATGGCCAAGCCTCAATCCCAGGAATTTGGGCAGCAGACGTAAGAGGATGGTAGCTTCAAGGCTGGCTTGAACCTTAATGAGACCCTGTCTCCAAACAAAAAGAACTCCTGGATTCAATCCCCAGTACCAGGGGAGTGGGCCCCCACAAAAGCCAGTATATGTTGTATGTGTATTTATGTTAAAACAAACAGGACACCAATAGAACACCAGGACCTGTGACCAATCCTGTGGTCAGTGCCTAGGCTGTGGTCTTGAAATGACATTTCCTACTAAGAAAAAAAGAAACCAATAGAAGCAGATGTCCTGGGTTTGGTCCCTCTGGGTGCAGTAACATCCCAGGGAGCATGGGATTTTGTGTCCCAACAGACAAGAAGCTGCTGAATGCCAAAGGGAGCACAGTGAGGGACAGAGGCTCCCAAATGAGAAGGAAATGGCTCAGCCTCCAGGGCCTACATGTCTGGCAAACTCCCGTGTACCAGAGGGCCTGGTGGCCACAGTGCCCACTCACCCCCTTGGTCTGAACACAGGCACTGAGAACCTGGCTGAGAAAGGAGACACGCACAGCGAATGATAGGAAACCTTGCAGGGCATTACCTGAATTGCTCCCTGGCTTTTATAACCTCGGCCATAGTACCTTCCACCTCTACCAAACGTCCGTATCACTGGGGTGGAAATAACTCCTCTTGGACGCCTAGGTGAATAGAAAAGGACAAGAGTAAATGCACTTAAATTCATCACAGACAACATGTGCAATAACTTTAAGTGGATGTAAAGGTGTCTGATCTTATGCTCCGTAAAGGATCGAGTTTATTGAATATGGTCACGCTAAAATTTATTTAAGAAATCAATCTTATTTTCATCATATTCAAGGCTTTTGATTTAAAAATAGTTTAAAAATAGTCTTAAAAAGGCAACTGACTGGGGCTGGAGTTGTGGCTCAGTGGTAGAGCACTTGTCTAGCATGTGTGAGGCACTGGGTTCGATTCTCAGCACCACATATAAATAAGTAAATAAAATAAAATCCATGAACAACTAATAAAAATATTTTTAAAAAAGGCAACTGATTAGCTGAACGTGTGATTATTTGATAATGGTTAAAATACAAAATGAGCTGAGCATCACAGCGCACACCTGTAATCCCAGTGGCTTGGGAGGTTGAGGCAGGAGGATCACAAGTTCAAAGCCGGCCTCAGCCAAAAAAAAAAAAAAAAAAAAAGGGCTGGGGGTGTGGCTCAGTGCCGCCCTCCCTCCCCAGTTCAGTTCAATCCCTGGTACCTTAAAAAAAAAAAAAAAAAAAATTTACATAATGCTATAATAGGATCTTATGATGTTAAAGTGTACGTAATGATACAAAAACATTCCTGTTAAGTTCATCATTTAAAAAAAAAGCAATTCAGGGGCTACTGTTTTGCACTAGACAAGATACATTTTCCTGGCCCAGAGCTTACCCTCTTGCTGGTCCTCCCACTGAGACCACTTGTAGTGGGAAGGGCCCTCGGCCTCCACGGCCCCGCCTACTTCCTGCCCAGTGGCCAACCACAGTGCCAGCAATTTCTAGTTTCCCTCCCTGAGAAGGTATAGGTTGGACTCCTGCACAAAAAATACACAAGAAGACAAAATCTTTATAATCACAGCATTAAAACTGGTAAAGAGAAACAAACAGGCAAATTCTTTTCAGTTCTGGTTTCTATTTAGGATGAAGCCATTTTATCTTGTTTGCAAAGACTCCTTTTTTAAATTATGTAGACTCTATGTACACACTGTGATTTTAAGCTGTTGGTTCCAACGGCAAGGGTGCAGGCCCTTCAGAGAAAGAGATTCAAGAAGGGACTCTGCAAACTCACATGTTTTTCTCTTTTTTGGGGTGGGGTGGGGGTTGGGGCAGCGTGCTAGGGATTGAATGCATGGCCTTGGGCATGCAAGGCAAACACTGTACCAACTGAGCTGTATCCCCAGCCCTCATGCTTTTCTGTTTAGGCAAATACTTCCAAGTTTACTTCTTTAGCCAAACATTATAGAAAATTATTAATAAATGAAACCCAAAGTTCAGAATATTAAGTAGTCACTGTATTTACCAACTTCTATTAATTATAGGTATCTTGAATGTTCAAAAGTTTTCTGACCTAAAATAATTCTCAAACTATTACCTGATAGAAAGAATTCTGATAAAATAAACCAGAGCCCCAAGATTTATGTTTTCTGCTGGGGGTGGATCATCACAAACCTTCCACCATATGGTGGGCTGGCAGGCCATGGCCACTGCAGTGACTGCGTAAGCAAAGGCCAACAGAACTCCAAGATAAAACTTAAGTTTTCTGGTAGCCACATGGAAAAAAAGTACAGACAGATGAAATAAGTTTTACTATTATATCTTTTTTTTTCTAATTTTTTTTAAAGAGAATTTTTAATATTTATTTTTTAGTTTTCGGCGGACACCACATCTTTGTTGGTATGTGGTGCTGAGGATCGAACCTGGGCCGCACGCATGCCAGGCGAGCGCGCCACCGCTTGAGCCACATCCCCAGCCCCAAGTTTTACTATTATATCTTATTTCACCCAAATAACATTATTTCAACATGTAATCAAGATAAAAAGTAAATGGACTACTTTACATCCATTTTTCTTTGAAATCTGGCGTACATCTGCACTTACTGGTCACAGCTGGAGTGCTCAGTGGTAGACGTGGCTACTATGCAGGACAGCCCAGGGTCTGGGTTTCAGACACCGTGGCAGGAAAGCCAGGAAGCCGGTTCCTTGGCCATCATTACCCACACTATCCAGAATGGTACCTGCCCTATCCTCACTCTTTTCCCCAACCACAGGCCAGCTTCAGTGGTCAGGTACTGCAAGGAGCTGAAGCACCTCAAGAAGCAGAGGACGGGGCTAGGGACATAGCTCAGTTGGAAGAGCGCTTGCCTCGCATGCACAAGGCCCTGGGTTCAACTCCCAGCACCACTACCACAAAAAAAAAAAAAAAAAAAGAAGAAGAAGAAGAAGAAGAAGAAGCAGAGGCTGCAGGGCCGTGAGGTCCAAGAACAATGGCCATGGAACAGAAAAGCCTTGTGGGAGGCTAGGAGACATAGGAAGAGGGGCCTTCTGGGCTGCAGACGAGCGGACCCACAGTCATATCTCCTGCCTCCTAGCATACCATACCTCCTGCCCAGGTCACTGAGTGGAGAAAATATTGCCCCTCCCGCCCCCCGCCCAGAGAAAGGCTTGCCTACCCTAAAGGTTATTCCAGATTTGTCAGAACAATCCTGCAATGTGACTTGATGGCCAGATTTAGACCTGCAGTCTAAAGCCGAAGTCACAAGTTTCAAATGACAGCAGCATCACAAGATAGTAAAAAGACTTTTCTCTCCCTGGAAAGACTAACTCAAATAAAAAGAGAAGCAACAGGAATTTCAAGTAAACTAACTTATTTATATACTAGACACCAGATCTTTCTTTCAAAATGTTTTCATGAAATGAACTGTGACAGCCTTTTTGTCAGGAGTTCTGTGCCTACAACCATCTTCTACACAAGTGTGAGCACCTTGACCAGGAGAGGGTTGCTTGGGTGCTGGTCAGGTCACCCAGGTGCACAAAAGTGCTCGGCTCTAGGTGGTTTACCCTGAAAGGAAAGATGACCACCACAGGGCCACTCCGGAGACCTGAGGGCAGGGAGTCGGGTCAGGGACCCATGAGAAAGGGAGCTCTGATGGAGCAGGTGGCTCACGAGGACAGTCAGGGAAGGCGCGGGATGATGGAGCAGAGGAAGGGCTGGCAGGCGGGAGCTCTGGGAGGGGTGAGTGTAATTACCGCCCTGGGACTTGCTAGTCCTGCTGCTGTCACTGCCTGAGAAGGCTCCGCAGTGTCCAGATGCTGCCGCCACCCGGAAGGCACGGTAAGGGCCTGATGCTACCGTTTCCCCATAGGGGCCGCCAAAGCCACAGACTCCTGTGGGGACCAGGGTAGAGAGAGACAGGGAGAAGCATGAGGGACAGGGGTCAGCCCCCACCCCCCCTGCTTGGTGTGAGACCTGGCAGAGTGACCCCCATCTCCTTAAGCTGCAGGGAAGGGGTATCCTGGCCCCCCTCACCACCTTATTGCCTTGCACCCTTTGCACCCAGAGGCCACCACTGCAGGCCACCTTCCCTGCAGCAAGTCATCCAACAGGGTGCTAGCCAGGGGATCACACTAGGCCCCAGGAGGCGGATGTTGGAAGACGGCTTTCTCGCACCCAGGTGGATTACTTTCCCACACTGCACACAGGAGGAAAAAAACATCTTCAAAACATGAGCAGCGCTGTAAGCTACATTCCCGGATTTTAGATCAACCCTCTATAACAGCGCTGGTGGCTGCCATCCTCCCTTCTTACAACCACCTCTGGGGTCTAGCTCACTCTTTGCTGATTCAAAGAAATACTACTGTGGCCCTCCCAAGACTGACAATTACCCGGGCTTTGCATGGCAGGCTACATCCCACTAGGAGGACAACATGTCCCATTTCCACCCAACAGCGTGCCAAYCCGTGACTCACCTGCAAAGCCTCTGCCCCTGCCCTGAGACGGGGGGACGGGCCCGAAGTGCCGAGGGTACACAGATGCGGGGTAGAAGGGCAGAGCAGGCGGTGGCGGGAAGGGGAGTGGGTGGTTCTGCCGGGAGAAGTTGAGCCCCTCCAGAACACTCTGCCGCATCTTCTCTACCTTGGCGGCCTGCTCAGCCTGGAAGGCAAGGACCCGGCAGGTGAAAATGCCACTCAAGAGTCGTGACCAGATGTGAACGAGCACTGACAGATTAAAACATGCAGACTCACTGCTGGGAGTCCTGTCTGCACACCCCTCTACTTGCTGACGTTTATCTGTAACCACCCAAATCAATCCTTGGCCATTCGCAGTCCTGTGTGGAGCATGGGGTGGCATATGAGCCCAGATGAGATGAAACAGGACAACACCGACCTGCCAGACTCAGCTCATGTTGAAAATGAGCATCCTCTTTGTGGCCTGTTTAGTGACTTCTTGTTTGCAATCTGTCCTTGCAGTTGGTGGTTTTGGTGTTTAGGATGGACCCCAGTGCCGAGGCGCTGCCCAGTGTTTCTCAGCACACCCGGGACTAGACGTGCCGGTGTCAGAGCAGCTTCCTGCAGCTGGAGTTACAGTGCTGCTGGTCATGAGCTTGAAGGCCACGAATGGACAGTATGTATTAAATGAGGTGTCTGTAAGCAGAAACCCTCTAGGAACAAGGTTCTGAGCTGACTGAGGCAAATGTGCAGGTGGAATCTTGCAGGCACCTAATCCTAAATTTCCGAGGAGAAATGGTTCATACTCGCTAATTCAGGGTCTGAGGAGAATTCTGGAAGCTAACTACCAGGAGTAATGAGGATCAAAGGCCTACTGGGCGAGGCCCTCTCACAGGTTTCATGGTGAGTACGGTATAGAAGACGACATAGTCAGCCGGTGCACCGTATTTCATTAAGGTCAGGGGAGGCTGTCCCGCCCAACATACCTGACCATCACAGAGGTCGATGAGTGGGGTCTTTTCCCGGCTGGCTTTGAGGAGTTTGGACTGGAAGAGCTTCCCATCGAAATACATCCAAGGACAACAGTGTTCCCAGGGGATGGGCTGTCCACACGCATCATTGGCAAACAATGCCATGTCTACTCCACTCATGAAGAGAGCTGACAGTTGAATTCCTCGGGGGTCTAGGTTCTCAATCTTTAAATTGAAAAGAGTGATTTCTATGGAATAAGAGCACTTCAATATTCTCCCACTGTCCCACTGCTCTCCAAAGTTAATAGAGATCACTCCTCAATAAAAGGGTACCACTAAGCAGTCCTAATTTGACCTAGCACTGATCTTATTTAAATAGAATTACTTCTTATTATTTAGCATATTTAAATTTAAGAACATGTTTCATGAACATACTGAAGTATTCCAGCTTGGCATCTGAAATCATCACCTAGAGTGTATAAGTACTGTATTTAAGGCAGGACGTTACAAGGGGACCAACGATGCGTGCGTGGTCCCCTCAGCAGCTGGGACTCTCACGATCCCTTCACGAAATAACACGTCAGATCTGAACACAGGTCAGGTAAATTACCTGGGATAATTTCATTCAGAAATAAATTTGTATTTTGTTTTTATTTTTATATGTTTATGTTTCAGATAGCTACTTATTAAAGAAATTGTCAAAACATTTCAGGAGACATGAATAGCTTATAAATGAAAGAACAAAACAAGAGAACTACTGTACTGAACCACGAGCACTACAGAATTTGCACAGCTTGTACGTCATGTGTGAGTGATGATGCCTGCTCTGCCCAGAGCCCTTTCCTCTCCCAGGACAGGTTGGGCAAGAGACTCAATGGAATATACAGTCAACTCTTGATCATCTGACAGAAAGACCTTGTTTGTGGATTATCCAGGATAGTTTTTAAACTCTGCTCGTTTCTATCTTCTACCTGGATGGCTTCTCAAGAACGCAGTCTTTATGGGGCATCAGTCTAAATAATGCCTAAAGGTGGCAATAAAATGGTTTCGTAAAAGAGGAAAAAACAGACCATTCTGGTGCCAAATGCTAATGAAATTTATGATTAGCTGCTATTTCGTGCTGTTTATGTCAGCTTTTCCCATTATTAGCCAACACTGTTTTCTAACCTTTTTAAAAATTTTAAGTCAATGCAAATGAACTTCCAAAATAAGTCTGCTCACAATAAAAGTGGTTCATCTACATTTCCTGACCCAACTGTGCAGCATGCCAGCTCCTCCGTGCCCCATGCATTACTGGGAAGCAGCTGGGGCTGGATGATGGAATTAGACATATATTCATTATTTATGTGTATTGTGGAGAAAGAGAGGGTCTAATCGGAACAAAATGGAGAAAATCTATTTTATTTATTTAGATACCAGCCACCCTATCTCTGAGCTGTACAAAAGAAGAAAAATCATCATGACAGAAAGAGGGAAGCGGCTCTGCTGGAGAGGGGTTTAAAGCAGAGGTGGAGCCTGATGAGTAAACAGGGCCACCCCAGGACACTGGTCCCCTGTTCTCTTGCATTTTGGGACAGTGACCACAAAACACTTCCAGCCAGGTGAGGGCCCACCACTTTTGGCCCAGGGCCTCATCCCCCACTTGGCCCACATCAGAGAGCAGAGGATCTGGGTCAAGGGCGAATGCAAGAGGTGAATGGGCCTGACGGAGCTCTGAAGAGGTCTGCCTCTGTCCAAGCGTCCTGCATAGAATGCCATGCTCGGCCATGGATCGTGGCTGGTCACCTCCAGACACAAACCCCTGCTAACACCCTGGTAAACTGCCATCTGCACTGTGAGTTAAAAAACCCTCAGCAGGTGCACACAGCATGGAGGGGTGGTGTGAGGCAGCACTGTGTATAAACATGCATGTATCAACCAACTTCAATACTGGTTGATAGCTATTTTTCATGAATTTAAAAAATGATGTTTATAGTTTAATTTTCAATTTCAGGAATAACAATTAGAATTAATTTAAAAGTTCTCAAAAGCTACGTTAAAAATGTTTTTGGAGTGGGGGCAGGGGGAACTGGGCTTGAACCCAGTGATGTTCTGCCATTGAGCTACATCCCAGCACTTTTTACTTTTTATTTTGAGACAGGGTCTTGCTAAGTTTTCCAGGCTGGCCTCCAACTGGCAAGATCCTCCTGCCTCAGCCACCCAAGTCACTAGGATTACAGGTGTGTGCCACTGCAGTCAGCCCTTTGAAAATTATTTAAAACTTACATTTGCATAATATTTTTCTTTCCCTAAATGTTTACTGTGCAAATAATAATGTGATACTTGTAGGGAACTTAAAAAAAGATGTATCAGACACCACCCTTTTTTTCAAACATGTACTTTTATGTGTCCTACCTCATTTCCATCTCTCAATACCTATAGGACACATGGACTTCTAACAGTATTCCACTGTAATAGACAGTCACAGACTTCAAGGTCACAGAGACTGCAGAACCCCAATCTGAACCCTTGACTATAGAAATATCTGCAGTAATATTCATATTCGAATCTTATTCTCTTATATAAACTGAGATAAAATATTCAGCATTATCCAAAGTTCCTCAGCTAGAGAAACAGAGAAAAAATTCTGACTTTATGGGAAATACACACATGAAACTTGATCTATCTCAGAACCCAAATCCAGCACAGTGACTCTGTGTGTCCTCTAACTACGGGGCACAGACTCTTACTGTAATTTGTCATATTTACCTATATGCAAAATAATTCTTACAGGTATCACAGACATGCTGCACGCCCCTAATACTGCCTTTAAAGCTCTTCATTTTCCATCTTTTATATTCTGCACTTGGCATGTGAAACTGTTAAAAAGAATTTAAGGCAATTATAGGGATGTCAAGAACAAGGGAGAAGAAACTGGACAGACATTACAACTGGACAAAGTTCCTTCTCCTCGTCCTTTACCCACCCTCCTAGAAACCCAGGCTCAGGGCTCATTTTACCTTAATTACACTCATGCTGTTAACCTAGGAGAAGGGCTTAAAAATATAAAAAGAAAAAAATGAGGGTCATCAGTCACTGTCACAGGTGTTCAAGGAACCACACAGAACTCTCAATTATTCATGAACATGGCAGACGGAGAAAGCATGGATGAAATGAAATTCTTAAAAAATTCATTTAAGGTAATGGTTGCAATGTCTTTTCCCACTGAACCTCCCCGCAGAAAAGCTAACAAGAGCCCAAGCTGTCAGAACTGGGTCCGTTCTTCCTCTTTTCTTCCACTGATGGCAAAGCATGTGGTGGACACTAAGGGGAGAAGAAAGAGGGGCCTGGGCAATCCACAAACTGGTCACGGCCCCGACACAGGAGCAGCGACAGTCAAGAGGCGACTGTGTCTTAAACAGTGAAATGGCATCTCACAGGAAAGGACTGTCATTGCTTTTGCTATGCTGGAAAACTTTAATGTTTACATGAAAAGGCAATTTTAATTTTAATTTTCCACCACTGAATTTTGGAACCATTGGCTCTGCCTATGAATTTTGGTTAGCACTGAAATAAGGATTGTTCTGGTTCTGATTCTCGGTCTGATCGCTGAGAGGAGCTTAAATCTTTACAAAACAAATGACTGCCTTCCCCTCAAACGCTTTTTCCTCACAGCTCTTCCAGAGTCTGCACCGATCCTGACAATGACGCTGTTCCAGTGTAGGCTGTGCTCTTAACCGGGACTGTCGCCCTGCACACAAGAAGACCCCGGGCAGCAATGAGTGAGACAGAAGGCAGCCGCACATGGAATGTGTCCCATACAGCTCTAGAAATGCCTGGCCTCAGATGAAGAACCGGGAGAAAACCATGAAGGCACTAAGACCTCAAAAGAACCAAAATGAAAGCTTTGAGTGACTGGGTTTCAAAAGTTATATCCTGTGTGTGGATCGGAAAATGAAAAGGATATGGGAAATAAGATGGACTTGGTTAAAGTAACTTGATGGTGAATAAAGCTTGGTGGGCATACCTGGTCCCTGGCGGTGTGACTTTCAGAACTGGGATGTCAGTACTGAAGGAATAATCTATACAAGAGAAACAGGAGGAGAGGTAGGGGGTGGCACCACACTCTAGGAAAGTGTTTCCACCCCCTGAAGCACAGCCTGCAGCGCGCACGGTGGTGACGGCACCGGGGAGGACCTGACTGGGCCCGCCACACTGCCTGACACCAGAAACAAAAGCGTTAAAGACAATAACAATTTCTGCCTAACAAACAGAAAAGTTGATCCACAAAGTAAAGAACACAATTTGAGGGGTTTCTACGTTTTGGCTTTGTACTTAGCTTGTTTCAAAGTCATCAGAAGCCTCAGGTGAGCTCCACTCTGCACCAAATTTTGCAATTTAACACAGTAATTTAGGGAAAACCAGACATTTATTGAGCACCACCTGTTGAATACTGAACTTCTATAAAGCAAGTCTAAAATTCCTCTGCAGGGCAAGATGCGTTCATAAAGAACAGCAAAAAGATCTAAAAGCGAAGGCAATTTTGTCAAAGGAAACTAACTGATTATAAATCAAACTTTGTAAAAATAAATAAATGAATAAATAAACAAATAATAAAAAACAAATAACAGATGGCAAAGAAAAAACAAAACCCTGTGCATTAAAAAGAAAAGGCAGACCTATGAGTTTGGCTAACTTTGAAGTCTTGAACATTCTAACATTTAATAGAAATTAGAAAGCAATTAACAATTGTGAACACAGCAACTAATAAAAGTGTACTGAAAAAGATGTGCACACTCAAAAACTGGGTGACAACTTAGAGAAAACAAACCTTGTCAAAACAAAGAACAAAAGGAACTGCTAGAAGGCAAAATTAAAAGGAATATGATGTTAAACGCTGACTAAAAAGGGCACTGGGAGGATGGTGTCACGTGGTTCCTCAAGTGGCTGTTTTAAAAGGGATTTTACAAAACTAGAAGGGCAAAGAACATTTTTTAGAGAAAACTAAAGTTGTGACTAGGAACAATGGAATGAAATAAGAAAAAGAATCCTGGCTAGATGTTAGAAAATCCTTAAGATCAAGCCCTCCCACGATTTGGAATCCCCTCTTAAAATAAAAAAGAGAAGTTTATTTCCTGATGTGAAAAACAAGAATAAACACCCACTGGTAAATGAGGGAAAATCTTTCTCTCAAGGTGGAACTGATCATTTCCAACTGGGGATGGCAAATCTATATAACTAGGTAGGAATGGCCCTTTTGCCCTGAAGGCTCTTGATTCACATCGAATTAGTATCATTAGTTTAGTGCACAGAGCAAGTCTGCCTGGTAAAGGTTAGCTGTGTTACACCAAAACTCAAAGCAAAACTTCCCGAGACAGGCTGGCACACTACCTTGAGCTCCTGTAGCTGGTCTGGCTCGTAGAGTTTGGGGGACAGCGCTTGGGCCAGGAAGGCGTCCAGCTCCTGACGCCGTAGGATTCGAGCTCCCGGCCACTGCACCATATACCTAGGGAGAGACAGAAACACCGGGCATGATTGTGTGGTCAAACCTAGTGAGAGGGTCTAAGCACATTTGGGATGATGTGATCACTGAGAAAGCTCCGAAGGCTTTTTTTTATCCAGCCTGTTTTCACAAGATGATGCCAATTAGAAATGAAAATGTAGTCATCGTCCAGGCTGACTGGAATGGTTTACTTTAATTAAAAATGGCACCTTAAAAAAAAAAAAAGGCATCTAAATTGTATATACTGAAGACTACCTCCTCAGTAACACCCCTACCCCAAGTTCTGGGGATTGAACTCAGGGGCCCTCAAACACTGAGCTACCTCCCCAGCTCCTCTCAGGTTTTTAAGAGACAGGGTCTTGCTGAATCACCCAGACTGGGCCTCTTGATCCTCCTGCCTCAGCTCCCAGAGCACCTGGGATTACAAGTGTGTGCATGTCCCACTATGGCTGCCACCGGTGATTTTTGATACAACTTRACTCTCGTGAAACATTTAAAACGCGGAAAGTACACTACAGACACCAATTCACATGATTGGTTCATTTTAATTCAGGCCAGGATGCCCTGGAGGCAGAACCTAGGTCACAATAAGAAAGATTAATCTCATGAGTGAAGAAGGGCTTCTCAGCAGCCGCCCAACAAGGGATAAGGCACAGGCGGGTCCACGGGGGTTGCCGGGGAAATGCACAGGATGCTCACCAAAGCCCACCCCCTTCAAATGAGGAGCACCCTGGTGTGGGTAGCTGAGGGGAAAACAACACCCAAATCTTCAATATCAGCTAGAACAGATCTGCCAAGAGCAATGGGCTTCCTGTTTCTGTGGCAACACTGCTCAAGAGACAAATAATGTTGTTTCACTACACAGGACACAATCCCAGGTAATGTCCAGAGAAAATGAAATGCTAACCGTACAACTGAGTCACAAACCTGCAAGTCCAACGATCCCAATTCTCTTCATTCAACCAACCTGCAGGTGATCTGATCAAGTTGCCAGCTGATCACTAAAAATAACTTCTGATGACAGAATGCTATATGATCTCTTGAGAACAACTCTAAGGAGTCTGGAGAAAAGTGACATGCCTAACAAGGCTCGTTCCACCCCCACCTGCTGAGTCAATTTTTTCAGGGCTTAAAACCAAGTTTACAAAAACCCAGGTCTGGGTTGGTGCTGAACCTAAACTCCTTTTTATAATAATTGATCCATGGTAATACAGAATAAGCAAAGAGATGTAGGTTCCACACCTATAAACCCATTAAGAGCACGTTCCTATTTATTTAAATATTTTACACATATAAACTCATTCACTGTCCTAGCAAGAATGATTACCATCTCATTCTAGAGATGGGTAAACAGAGGCATGGGGAGCTTATAAAATTATGTGGCAAAAGCAGGGAAATATAATTTCTTTTTCCTTCCTTCCTTCTTTCTTTTTTTGGTACTGAGCATTGAACCCAAGAGCACTTGACCACTGAGCCACATTCCCAGCTCTTCCCAACCCCTTTTTGAGATAGGGTCTAAGTTGCTGAGGGCCTTGCTAAGTTACCGAGGCTGGTCTTGAGCCTCCTGCTTCAGTCTCCCAAGTAGCTAGGATTATAGGTGTGCACTACCACACCCAACTCCAGGAAATGCAAGTTCAAGATGAACAAATAGTAAATGTGTCTATCATATTTAAATAAAAGAGTGGCCTAAAACTTTTATTTAAGTAAACTGTCAACATTTGTAATGAGGAAATATACATCCTTTCATTTGAGCACCACAAGCCTTAAATACAATGGTCTTTCTGAGTTGAGTTTTAATCAGGGCTTGATGCAAGAAAAGAGTTAGCTCAGTGGTAAAGCATTGCCTACCATGATGAGGCCCTGTGTTCCATCCCTAACCAACAAAAACAATGACTAGGACTGGGGACATAGCTCAGTTGGTAGAGTGCTTGCCTCACATGCACAAGGCCCTGGGTTCAATCCCCAGCACCATACACACTGCGGGGGGGGGGGGGGGGGGGTGTGGTGTGAGGGTGTATCAGTCCTCAGAGTTGTTTGGAAAAAAACAAAACAAAACACAACACTGTGGAGAAGGTTATGCTCAATTATACAATGTGCTTTGTCTTCAGGATCATGGTTTATGTTCTTTTAACTTTTTAATTTTTGTTTTGTGTTTGTTTTTATTTTGTTTAAACTGTGTTAAAATACACAGCTTAAATGTACACCTTTTCCCAGATATCAAGTGTCCATTTTAGTGGCCCTGGGTACAGTCACAGTATCCTGAAGCCACCAATCCTCCCAAAGCCAAACTGAAACTTTGACCCTCAGGTACTACTTCCCCAGAGCACTGAACCAGGCTGGTTTTCTGGAGATCTTCCCTGTTTTTCTGACAGGGAAGCCGCTCAGAACTCAACACAGCTGCAGGAATACGCGTGTACTGGGCAGAATTCTGTTTCCACCATTTGGCGCTCTGAACCAAAGGTAGCATCCGCTCTTCTCAGGGGCAGMTGTTAGAAGAATACATGGACATAAACGCATGGGTCAGTCATCAAGACCCACAGGCAGCAGTCACAGCGACCCACTCACTCCTGTTTCATTCATTTAGGCTGCTCCTACCTACACTACTCCTCTACAGAATGTCTTTGGATCCCTTTTACACTGCCAAATCTACCTGTGCAATTTCTGGAACAATTCTCTGGATGTTCTTTTCCATGCAACTGAGCAGAGTGTAAATATGTTACGTGAAGAGCTTATCAGCAATGGACCTTGGGAAAGCTAGTTACCCTTCTTGTCTTTTCTTTCTTACCATGGAAGGATAAGGACCGTCTCGATTGTTCTGGAGTCTTCTAAGGCTGATCTCCTTTCACTGCCCTTCTCAAACAGGGAAGCTGGGGAAAGCCAGAGCTCCAAGAGCAGAGCAGGGGCCCTTACACACCCCTGGGGACAGCGCGGCCTGCACTCCATTGAGGGAGCACAGCTGGTATGATCTGCAGCATGTCCACACACACACACACTGGCCTGAGGGCCATTCTGGTGCCTCGAGCTTGCCCTCCCTGATAACTCACGTTGACTCTAGCCCTTCCAGGAGTCCCCAAAGTCTGTCTTTCCACCTTGGAGGAGGACCTGATCGACTTTGTCCACATGTTTCTCCAAGACCTTCCAGGCTGGAACGTGGCTCAGTGATTGAACACTTGCCTACCATGCATGAGGCATGAGTTTGATCCTTGGCACCACAATTAACAAAACCAAAAAACCTTCTGCCTTCACAGTCATGCCATGACAACTTGTGCTCTGATTCCCTCCTCTCTCTGCTGCTGAAATTCTAGAGACTGAACTGACACTTTTCTTTTATGCACCTCAACTGCTGCCACAATGTAACATTTAACACTGGAGTACCCCAGCAACTTTACCAAGGAGCCAAGATTAACAGCAGTAGCAAAGACAAAACTGCCTTTTGGAGCCTTGAGAAGATGCCAACCCTTCTGTGGTGTTCCACCAGAGTGTACAGGCTGAATCAAATCGCAAAGAAAATACCTGTCAAGTCTACAACAACAGTTTACATAGGAGTTGAAAAACTACAGCCACAGGCTGGCTCCTGTATTTGTGAATAAGCTTTTACTGGAGGCCTGCCTCTCCTGTCCATCCTGTGGTCTTGCCTGTGTCTCCTCCTGGAAATAGCATCGAGAAGAGCATGAGGTAGTTCCTGCCAAGGAAAGGGTTCACACTGCAGCCAGTAAGGTAGAAGTGCAGAGGTGAGAGTGGGCACAGAGTGAGCCTCCATGTGGCACCAGCCAGATGAGAGGCTGAGGGAGCCAAGAGCCAGGATACAAGGGCAGTCGGAGTCTATGCTGCAACACCAAGGAACACACACTGGGACTTGCAGCTGAAGCGTGGACATCAAGCTCCACTCCTGACCAATGCTGTTCAGCGGCACCTGTATACTATACTATATCCCCCATCTGGGGTCCAATGTACTCTTGCATCAGGTGGACAGTGAGTACTATATATCAGGTACTATATATCACCTCACTTTTGCTGGGTTGATCTCAGAGCACCCAAAGTCCTCATCTTAAACTTTCACTAATGTCAAGTACTAATGATAAAAACATGTCTTCAGTTGAATTTTCCAGCATAGAAAAACCTAGTCAGAGAACGTTAACCAACTGGCACACTATGTTCTAAGCTGATATTCTCGCCTTCAACAAGTTATTGGCCTTGAATTTTGTTTCAAATTTAAGAAACTTCAGGAATAAGAATAGAAAGAAAGCTCTATCTCTGCCTTCCTAAAGCCCGGTAGGAGGGGCGCAAAGGGCCATCAGGACCTGCATGAAGATGGCCTCTAAAGGGGGCCCATCCCACATAGGGAACAGGAACAAGCAGGGAGCCAGGAGGGCCAGTCCCAAGTCTCATTGTCAGAGCCACAAGTTACACACAATGGAGGGGATACCACTGTGCCAGGTCAGAGGGACCAAGGTGAATGCACTGTTTTCAGCGAGAAATAGGAGAGCTGAGGCATCAGGAGCCACTGGCTGAAGAGTCTGGTCTCTCAATCCCACCCCCCTTCTTGTAGGGACCCAGGACAGCTTGAAGAAGTGGGGATCCTAGAGCTAATGCAAGGAGGTAGGAGGAAGGAGAACACCTGCAGAGAGAAAAAGAGATGCTCAGAGAACAAGGGGACAGTTGGAGACCATGGAGGTCCAGTGACATGGTGACAAGTGCCAAAATAAACATTGGTACCATGGTCTGAAGGCCCTGGGAGGCCAGTCCATACGGAAACAAACACATGGACAGCCAAAAAGGAGGGCACATTTCCTGAGACCAGAGCACCTCCCCCACGGGACATGCATCACCTGGAAGGTGAGAGCAACTCTGCAGGGAGAAGCTGCACATGCCCCACCAAGTCCTCTGCTGGGGAGGACTGTCCAGTGACCCAGGTGGAACCTTGCACCCCCAGGTGGGAAACGACCCCCGAAAGCACACAGGACCTGTAGTGGGTCCCTTGTCACAGAGAACACTGTTAGGACAATTAAGAAATGAGCCTGAGATGAGATGGACTAAAGGATCCATATGGATTTGAGTCTGGTGGCTACTTGGTGGTCCTACAGAATAATCTTGCTAGAAAACTATACTAAAGGATGTGGACTGGATTTAAAACAAAGCCTTTTGTATTGTATTTGCAACTTTTCTCTATGTCTAAATCGTTTCAAAATAAAACAAATCCAACTAAAACGTACTAAACATCCAATATGTAACCCAATTCAGATAAACTTCAAAATATCCCATTCACCCATCCTCGTGTGCTGCAAGGGCCCAGTGGAGGTGCCCCAGTGGAGGTGCCCCAGGAGCACAGCAGCCTGGTCCACATGCGGCTCCAGGACCGCAGACAGCTGGTGCTGGAACACGGAAATACTTGTATCTTGTTGGGCAGGGAAGCAAGGAAAAGCCCCACACCAAAAGATGATGTGTGCCTCAGGGCCAACCTGGCCGGGCTCCCAAGGCCAGAGCCTGGGCAAAAAAGTGATTACGACCTACAAAGTACACTTGTGTCCATTACCAGTTAGATAATGATTAAATAAATGAAGGGGGGAAGAAGAGAAATTTTTCCAACAGAAGAATTCCAAATAAATCCCCCTTCCAGACTTCAAAATCTTCAATATTTAAAGAATAAACTGTCTAAAATCATTATGTATCTACAGGCCATGTGTGTTTACCAAATATACCTACTTTATAAACATAGTCTTCAGTGTAAATTAAACCATACATTGCCATTTCTGTGGGCCTACATTCCCAGAACATATACAAATACAGGACCAGGACAAGTCTCAACAGACAATACACAATACCTACAGCGTGAACTTTCCATCCTTCCTAGAAGGCTGGACACTGTGATTACCCTGCCCCCCTCCCCAAGCCTTAGTCCCTGGGTCCACCCCTCCACCCATGGCTGGGCACGCACCGTAGGACGCAGCAGAGCACCATGAGGTGAGTGGGCACGTTGGCGGGGTTAAGCATGGCTGGGGTGTCGGACCTCATGCAGGCCAGGAAGGCCCTCATCCTGCGGTTCTTGTCCTCTACGGCCTTGCCAAGCCAGAGCCTCTTCAAATTGGGGCAGGTCCACTCCCGGAAGGCCAGGGCTTCCACTAGTTCCGGGGTTTGAGGAGACTTCCCCTTGTAAGCTGCCCATTCCTTAATGATCACTGGTGAGACTACAGAAAAAAGAGAGAGAGAAAAGAAAGCTCATTGAGGCACATGACTTACCGACCCTCAGCCTGCACAAAAACAACCTGCTCTACCCACGAGCCTGGAGATATGTCCTTGCAGGTAATTGAGGCGTCCTCACCTTAGCAAACTACCAAGAGCAGAGCCCTCATGCTCAAGTACTTTGTGCCCTCTACTCTGTGATTAATGGCTCATTCAGATTTGTAGTGAGGTCATATGTAAATTTCTTCTCAATCAGATCATGGCTTGACTTTCCCATAGACCCAATGAACAAATCAAGGATGTTAGAATGTACCAGGAGTTTAAATCTACTAAAAGTTTTAGTAATATTCACAGAATAGGTAAAATTCACAGAAGTACGTGATTATATAGTTATGTTAACATGGAAAGCCCAACTTAGACAGCTAATCTCTTCTTCCCAAATACTTTCACAAATTGGATTCGAAAAATAATTTGTATTTGGCAACCACTTTACTCAAGGACTTCCTTCTTGAATAAACAGCGGACTCTAAAAGAGTGGCCAGGAAGACACAAGTAGAAAAAAATTTCCAAGTTCTGAATCTGGATGATGTCAGCACAATGACTGTATCCAGCAAGACTCAAGACACTGCCAGAATCTCTAACATTTCATTTGGAAAAAGGGCAAGAAGTTCTGAATTCATATAGTACAAAACAATGACCTCTTATCCACAGTGTGAATTCTTACAAACACAAAAACATGCACATTTTCCCCACATCATTTCTAAATAAATTAAGGGAAAACTGTGAGAGTGCAGATACAATGAAGGTGCTCCATGTGCCAGCAGCATGTTAAACTTCCTCGTCAACTGCACTGAGGTGACGGCCTGATGGTAAAGTGTAGGTATGCATTTCAGAAGGAACAAGTGGCTCACTTTAGTTCAGTAAACACCAGAACCAGAGCAGGGACCTGTGTGGTCCTGTGCCCAGTGCAGGGCTCAACGTGAGTCCAAGGCCCCACTGCTAGCCACCATACTCCACGGCACGGCCCACAGGCCAGCAGCAGGGGCAGAAACCAGGATGGTATCGTGAATTCTAATTTGGTCTTCAGCACATTATTTCTATCCAGATAACATCAATCCCCCGGGGTTCATTTTCTCTAAAGTAACACCTAAGGCAGGTGAAAGATTCTGAAGGTTCCAAAACCGCGACAGAGTTACATGAATAACTGGATGGTCTCCAGTTCCACTTCACGTGTAAATATATCAGGCAATACAACAATCTCTTAAAATGTGAAGAAAACTGTCAGGAGTTAGATACGTGGATGTACAGTTTATCGGCAACAGAAAATGTAAATACATTTCAATACCCAACAAGCCAAGTAACAGTGTCACACATAGGAACATGTCATGGACATGCCTTGGGGAAGGGCTCCAGACTGTGCCCCTACACATCAAGCTCACTGGGATGAACAGGGGTACAAGTCAGGACAGTCGCTGAAAAGTTAGCCTTTTACAAAAGTGTTACTGCTGTCATTAGACAAATTCCTTCCATTGACATTTTGCTATCTTAGTGTTTAAATGTTAAAGGGATATTTAAAACACTCAAAATATTTGAAAATCCATCAACTCAAAAAACACAGGTAATACATATATAAACATACACTTATTTGCTTTTATTTAATATTTTTAGGTGTCAGAAAACCAAAAAAATCTCCATCAAGCAGAACCTGTCTTTAGACGCACAATCTAAGGTGCCCCTCCCCCACACCTAGTTCCCACTGAGCTCCAGCACAGCTCAGCTTCCAGAAGCACCCCAGGCAGCAGTGTCAGACACAGAGGATCATCATCATCACATGAGCAGCCATCCTGGGAGCCCACTCCCCTTCCTGGCTCCCTTCTGCATCCAATTCAAAGGAAGTATGGGCCAAGAGGAGCAAGCCAGGCGAGGAGCTTCAGAATGAGCTGGTGACCAACGCACCGTTTGGGATGTGCCAACAAGCACACACCCCCACGCACCATTCCATATACACCCCACCCCCCTCCACAAACACCCGCCACACCATTCCACACACACCACACACATGCACACTAGCATGGGTTCTAATGAATCACAAAAAATAGAATGTTAGAAGCCCCTTGGACTTTCTCAAAAGAGGCGTTCTTATTAAATTTATCTTCAATGTTTCTTTCCCTTCTGTCAGCTGTGTTTGCCCCCATTTAGTCATATTTAGCAATCATTTTATTTTATTTTATTATGTTATCTTCATTTGGGGAGGTATGGGAGGTACCTGCCCTGCCTGGTGCCCTTAGAAACACTTGCCAGGCTCTGGGTCTGGCAACTCTCCTACCAGGGTGCTTGAGGGCTGGCAGCGGCCCGAGCTGGCCTCATCTGACACTGTGCCTCAGATGCATACCTCCAGACTCAGCGGGCCACAGTGGGTGCCGGGAGGAGCCATGCTCTCTATCACAGCACCAAGCATTTATGTTCCCACTGAGCTCCAATACCGCTATTCACAAACACAGCTCACATCTAATTTAGAAACTTGTGTCTGTACCAGAGGAAATAGGTACGATGAGCACAAATCTTGCTCCGAATGCAAAGCTGCTCTGGAGTTGCTTTATCTTACAAGAGGCTCAGCTGCTTTTAAACAGTCTAATAACCTGGAGACCATTTGAATACACTGCCACTCAGCAGCTCAGCCGTGGAGCCTTTGGCAAACCATTTACCAAATACGCAGCCAGCAGCTTCTGTGTCCAGGCAGGGCCAGGGCAAGGAAGGCAGGTGAGCAGCGACCTGCATGTGCCTGAGCCTAAGGGAGGGTCTTCTTGGATTCCCCGACCCAGCCTGGTTGCAGGGATTAAGAAAAGGGGCTGTAACCTCGCTATGCAACACAAGCCTGATGATTAAACATAACAAGCACCTAGCAACCCTCACCACGCAGGAAAAACTGTGAGGCCAGCCAACATTTTATATATTATTTACAACAAATTAATATAAAAATAGTTTACAGATTGAAGAATTCCAAGGCTTGTCCAATTTTCAGGTTGACTGTAGTAGCGTTGAAGGTGCTGGGGGCCAAACAAAGCAAAAGGCTTGGCTCTGTGTGGCAAGTCTCTGAACTGGGCAGCTAAAGGGTACCAGTCAGGATAAGTGAGCTGGCAATGCCTACTGCTCTCAGAGAATCACAGCTGCCCAGAAGACAGGTGTCTCCACTCTCTGCTCTAGCTCATAGCAGCCAGTTAACAGAAAGGAGGCTGAATTCTCATCATTTTTGCAAAAACCTCTGGACACACAGGATTGCCTGGAAGGGTGCCAAGGAACCAAACCACAGGAACATCTTGGATGGGCACAGATCGGGCTTTAGGAAAAGCATGGTGGTATGAATGACTCTGTGCTGGTAGCAGGGCAGAAAAATAGACAAATATTCCAGAGGTCCACTCATCCAGCTGAAGATCTATGAGTAAATCTTGTGTGTCACCATCAACAAATATATTTATTTTGCTTTTCCTACTGATAGGAAAACTATTTCAGGAACAAACTTTTTTTGTCTTTGGTGGTGCTGGGGATGGAACCCAGGGCCTCAGGCAAGCTAAGGCACGTGCTCAACCACTGAGGTTCAGCTGCAGCCTGAGAGGCTCACTTAGCCGTCACACTAGCGAACAACTCTAGGACATCCACTTCCTATGTGACTAGAGGCCAAATTCAGAATGCATTTTCTTTATAGAAAGGACCCCTTTAAACTGCAAGTTGGGGGCATAAAACACTGTCATACTTAAGCTGTCCTTAAAAGCAAAACAAAACAAAAACCAGTATTTCCCATTGGACCTTAATCACATTTTCCTAGCATTGCACTTGACATGACAACCAGCCACCTTGGAAATCTGTTACAATGCTGACTTGGAATCAACCCCAGCCAAGGAATAAGAAACGTGGTTCTTTGTAAGCCAGTTCCTACAGGCTGGTAGTGGCTGCCTATAAGGCCACATTATATGGTATGTCCCTAAGCTCAGTGCCAGGGCACCACCACCAATGAGCAATACTTGCTCGGAGCTCAGGAAGGGGCAGCCTGCATTGTGGACAGGCCACCTTGACAGGGAGGGACAAGAGAGTGAGAAGAGTGACCTCCATGACCTGGCCAGCTAGCCTGCTATGCTCGTGCACCTGTGTCTTAGGAGGCACATCCTGAGCACTCCTCCCACAGTTAAGAGCTCCTTTGTCTCAGGTCAGAAAGAGGAAACTGGATACAGTGAAGCTGATTTTTCCTTCTAATAGGAAAGCTTCCTGCTCCTTCCTTCCCAAGCAGCACCAGCATGTGGGCAGCAGGGAGGCCCTGTGGTTCTTAGCCACTCAGCTGCACACCTGTGAACAGCTCAATGGATCCCAAAGGTGAAAGGCTGAGAATGCTCTTCTTAAAACTTTGCTACCTGAGGTTGGGGCAGTCCACTGCCCACAGAAATATCAAGCTTATTAGTAGGACAGAGGCATGCAGTAGACCTGATATTGCAGATGTGAAGGTAACTCGTTCATAATCCTCATTCTCCCCAAGTACGTGATAAAGCCAGGCATGGTGGCCTGCTGCTGTTATAATCCAGCAACTTGGGAGGCTGAGATTGAAGGACTGAAAGTTTATGGGCAGTCTCAGCAATTTAGTGAGACCCTGTCTCAAAAAAAAAAAAAAAAAAAAAAAAAAGAGCTGGGGATATAGATCAGGGATAAAGCACCTCAGGATTTAATCACCAGCATCAGATTTAAAAAATAAAAAAAAAAAAAATCTCAAAAGTTCAAGGCCTTACAAAATAAACACTAATCCAAAAGAGTAACATCAGACTCTGATGGTGGTGACAGTCTTAAGTAACCATATCTTGGGCTGGATCAATTAAAAGGTTTGTGAGAACAATATTGCAAATACTAAATCAGCATACTACTATTGATCAGTTATGCTATTTCATGAAATAATCTACAATGGCAGATTGACTGACTTTTAATCCCGATGGTCACATAAGCAAGTCATTTCTAAAGCAAAGGG